GACCCTAGGACATTACTTCCACATACAAGCCAGGCAGCACAGAAATGCAGATTGGCTGCTCCAGCGGATGACGGCAGGTTGATGCTGGAAAATGCTCTCCGCAGACAGCCCCTTTCTTCTGGGAGTTTCCAATGTTTTCACTTTTTCAGAGGGAGGACTTGCAGGTAGAGGGACGGACCATGGATGGCTGAGTGATGCGCATTCTCTGCCACTTGAGGGAAAGGAGAGATGGCTCTGCTGGGTCCTTCAAAAGGTTCAGATTTGTGACTGTTTTTGTTTTGAATAATCACTTCTGTTAAAGTTGGAGGTTAGCAATACATTGGTTCTTAAATTGAATGATATAATTATAAAATTATCTCCATGTAATTAACTCAGGATTATGTTTCATTCTATTTAGCATGTAATCAAAGCCTGTTATGCTTTTAGCTATAGGAACAGCAATTAATTTAAAAGGGTTACTGAGACTCTTTGCTTTTTAGACAAAATAGATCATCCCACCATTAGGACGCCCACTCGTTCTTGGAGGAAGAGCTGGGATGGGGTGGCACGGTGCGTGGGGCGTGCACTGACCGACACATAGGCAAGGCTGGCTTTGCCTGTTGCCCTCTTGCCTGGTTTGGTGCCTGGTGACGGGAAGCACTCCTGTCTGTGCTTTGAGTCCAATCCTCATTGTGATGGGCTCCTGCTTAGTGTGGCCATTATCACTTGCAATGGAAAAGAGAGTGGTGTGTAAAGTACTGGGTGTCTATAGAAACCCACGGCAGAACACCTTGCTTTCTTGGGGGTCAAGACAAGTGTGGAGAAAAAAATCTTGAAATGAAGATTTTGCCTGTCTGAGCCCTGCAACAAACAAGCACTCACACAGCAGTTTCCAACGAGCAGGAAAGTTCTGTTCCTGGAAGGGCTGGCCAGCATCCTGGGCCTCATGGACAGAATCCTGTCCCACTCTCCCGCACCTCCTGCCTCTGTCCAACTTTTTTCTCACTGTGTGGACACTGCCTCTTGCGTGCATTACATCCTTTCCCCTACTCCTAAGTAGCTACATGGATGCCTCATGGGTTGGGCGAAACAAGGAGGTGTAAGGGTTCTACTGAAAATCGTACCTGGGCTGTGGAGGGTGCCACTGCTGGGGGGTGCAGAGGCTCACCTGGGAGAGTTTCGCTTCCCTATCCCCTCTCTGTTCTATGCCAGGTGCTGTGTGTTCCTCACCTCCCAAAACAATGTCACCAGAAACTCATTAGGTAGATGAGCTTTCTGAGTAAGAGGAGAATGGCTGGACTCTGGAGGAGTTAGTGAACAGTCAAGCTGTGATTTGAACACAGGGCTGTCTCATTTCAAAATTCTATGCTTTTCACCGAACCACACTTCTTTCAGTGCTAAGTGATGCTGTAGAAGTATTTGCATGAAAAACATGGTACCCAAGCTGTCCTAAGCCAGTGTGCAACAGCAAACTCCTGGACATCTGAAGAGCTCAACCTAAAGCTTTCTTTGCAGGCAGGCTACAGTCTTTCCACCATTCATTTGGGTGACTGGGAGTTTCTCAACTTTCACGAGCATTGGAAGGCATGGTGAGGCTGACCCAGGCAGCCTCTGTGTTATAATGGACATGACTTACTGGGGATCCTTACTTGCAGCCACATAGTAAGAGCTTTGTATGAGGCATTTAGAACAGTCACAGTTATAGAGGCAGAATGTGGAGTGGTGGGTGGCAGGGGCTGGGTGGGGGGTGGGGAGGTTGTGTTCATGGGTGCAGAGCTTCAGTTTTACAATATAAAACGAGTTCTGGAAATGCATGGTGGCAATGTTGCATTAAATAAACTGTGGGTTTATTTAATGCCACTGAAGTGTACACTTAAAATGGTTAAGATCAAATTTTGTCATGTGTATTTTACAACAACAACAAAAAAAAAAATGGGAGAAAATATGCTAATAATACTCGCCTTGGCGAGCGTAGAATTCTGCAAACGGCTGGTGATTCTGCCATTTCCCTGACTGCCTGAATCTAAAGAAATACTGGTTTTCAGAATTTATATGTTGTTGTTGCTGTTGGAGTAGGAGAATAAAACCCTCTCAGAAAAACCTCGGCACAAAGTTTTGGTGTAAAGGAAAAACTCAGATGCAACATCCCATGGCCACTGAATGAAACCGAGCGCGGGGGCCAGGGATGTCCTGGGCAGGCTGGGCGGACGCGGCCAGGCTGCCACGGGGAGGGGGCACCGACAGGAACGGGCAGCAGCTCCTCGCAGCGCGCTTGGCAGCGGAGCCTGTGATTACCCATCCAGAGAGGGAAGAAAAGAGAAGGAAAGAAAGGAAAGTTAGTGGAGGGGGTAGAGGCTAGGGAAAGGAGGGGGGCACACCACGACGACAGAGCCTGCCAGTCCCCTTCCAGACAAAGGAATTGGCGGGAGGGGAGAACCCCGAATGCGCTGGCTGAAAGGAGGGAGGCAGCTCCTTCCGCGGAGGCAGCGCTCGCCCGGACCGCGAGGCCAAGTTTCACATCTCGACAGATGGGGTCGAGCGACTGGCCGCCCCGTTCCTTCCAGACAGTTGGTGCCAACAGTGATCTTCACCATTCCTCGTCCCCACAGAGGACCCTCGGCTGGGACAGGGTCCTTCCCGCCTGCGTCTCCCACCCAACCCCTCTGCGGCGGAGAAAGCCCCTCAGGGCTACCGGGTCCCGGCTCTTCTTCCCTCCTGGGTCTCCGTGAGGCTGGGGGTGGGGCCTCTCTGGGACGCCTTCCAGGCTGAGCGGGTGAAAAGGCGGCCCAGGAGGCAGATCTCGGCGACTCTTTGTTTCTGCTTCGGGCATTGCGCCGGGCTCAGCCCTGGAGGGGCGGAACCGTCAACGGGGCGGGGCCCCGGCTCAGGACCCGGAGTTCCTCCTCCTAGAAAGCCGGGTCGGGCGTCCCCTGGGGACACAGAGGGCCCCAAGGGTCTGGAGAAAGCCCTACCCTCGGCCTGGGAGAGTTGCCCAGGCCTTGCACAGGCCTGGGGCTGGGGCTGGGGCTGGGGCTGGAGAAGGGCAGCGGGCCTGGGCCGCGCCTGGTCTCCGGGACTTCGGAGTCGTTCCGGGGAACCCCACCCCTCAAAGTGGGACTCCTCGAGTCTCTCTGAGGAAACTGGGCCTGGACTGAAGAGCTGGCCGGCTGCTAGCACGAGGCCACTAACAACAGCAGTAATAATAACCGTCATCGCCAGCCTTTCCAGCGAGAGCCGCGAGCGCGGGCGCACCACGCTTGATTAAATCACATAATTAGGAGCCGCTTTAATGAATATTATTACATTTCAGGCGGGTTCAAGAATGGCCTTTTATTTTCTCTGGGCAGGCAGCATAAATATCATGAAGTGTTTGAGATTATTAATAGAAACATGAATGGTCTACTTGGGGTTCGCGCCGCGCGGCAGTGAGGCCATCGGCATCGCTCACAAATCAGTGCAACGGAGCTGCCCGCGCGCCGGGCCTGCCCGCCCCAGGGTCCAGGGGACCCCACTCTTCGTCCCGCCGGCGGCTTCCCTTCCCCACCACCCCTGTCCGCTCCCTATTCGGAGGCCTGGGGAGGGCCTAGCTCTCCGCCGAATGGGGCCGCGACGCCTGGTAGAAGGATCCCCGCCCGGAGGCCCGGCGCCGGGCTGTAGTGGCGCGTCGGGAAGGGGGGACCCGTCTCCCTGGAGGCCGATTTCTGCCTCGCCCGGCGAATCCCCGCTTTCAGAATTGCACCTTGGCCCTTTGTCGTCAGTCGCTATTAACCTCCCAGCGCGCAGCGGCTCCGCCTGGCAGGCTGCAGTTTTCGGCGGAGCCGGGACCCTCCCGGGGGCGCTTGGGTAGCCGCCGAGGCGAGCGGAGACCGCAGAGGGCGGATATTAAACCAGCGGGAGACAGAATGACTTCTAGCAGAGCCCCAGCGAACAAACGCTGCCTCCCGGCCGGCCCCGCGGCGGCGGGCGTATTTGCATATAGAGTGTCTGGGCGTGAGTTGCGCGCACTGGACGCCCGGGCACACCTGTGTCCAGCGGCGTAGGAGCCCCCATCGATTTGACGTTTTCACTCTAGGAAAACAGAAACGCTGGCGCTCTCTTGGTGGTCAGGCTGGGGTCACCCGCAGGGCTGTTTCCCTCTCTCCTTAGGAGAAAGGCAGGGCGGGTCCGCATTGCGGCCGTCGGCGGGTGTGGACCCTGGGATTCTGACTCCAGCCCCCACTCATCCAGCCCCGTTGGCAGAGCTGGGTGCAGCGGAGAAGGAAGGCTCTGAGCGCCAAGGAGCCCCGCCAGGCCCTCTCTGTCCCGCACTCTCTCGGGGGCGCCTGCTTGGGCAGGCCTGCGGGGCGGTGGGTCCTCTGAGGCCAGGACTCCCAGGCCCTCTCGGAGTCTCTGCCCTGCTATGGAGCAGTGTGGAGTGAGCTCCGCCTGGGCCCGGCGGGGACACAGCTAGGCCTCGGGCGTGGGGGTCGTTCAGTTCGAAGGAGCAAGGTCTTTCTTTATAAATGAACTTTCCTCTTCTGCACACTTAGGGAACCCTCCTCCTGTGGGGCAACAGTCTGGCCGGAGGCCCAGTCGTGGGGCGGTGTCTGCAGTCGGGGTCCAGATCCACGGCACGCAGAGTCCGGGAGGCCCGGGAGCAACCAGCTGGCAAAGGACTTGGGAAAGGCATACCTTCTTCCCCGCAGGCCTGACTCCGGTCTCCGTGGCCAAAGCAGGCAGGTGGCACAGCCGCGGCTCTCCGTGAGGGAGCAGTTTAGATTATATGCTGTTGGATTAAAATGTAATAAACATAGGAGTAAAAAAAAAAAAAAAAAAAAAAAAAAAACAAAAACAAAAAAACTCGGCGTTTCAAGGGTCTGAGGGCTCATCCAGTTCCAAAGAGAAAGAACACTCTCCATGCCACTGTAAGCCTAGTGTCTGCTTGAACGCCTCTGAGGACGGGGAACTCATTACCTTACAAAGCTGTGCCTTGCCCCTTTTCGGTGTTATAATTTGAAAACAGATTTTTAAAAAATGATCGCTTCATGTTACCGTATTTTTATTAAGAGAGAGGCCAATACGGCAATAGAAGTTGTGCCAGTATTTTTTGTTTGGTTTTTAAACTACAAACTTTCTGAACTGTTCAGAAGTCGGGGGTCGTGGGGAATGCGTGGTCTTGCCCCATCAGTGATGACCCTGGGTCGCAGCTCGGGCCCAGGCAACGAGAACTCGGGAGTCTCCGCGGTTAGATCCCAGCTCTCTCTTTCCAGGGATCTGAAAATACCGAGGGGCCGCCCCCAGACCGCTTCCTGGCAGGGCAGAGGCCCAGCCCAGAGGCCCCGCTTCCGCCTGGGAACGCCAACGGCCCAGCTGCCTGGGGAAACAGAAAACGCCTGAAAAGTCGCCTTCCATAACAGAAGATCCTCGTCAGTCTCTGAGTTTCTTTTACAGGGAGAAGAAGAAAAAAAAATTTTTTTTTAACCATGAAAGTTTGGAAATACAGCAATTCAACGCGTAGATCACTGGTTCAAAGATCCCTAACACTTCCTGGTGAGGGGGACTCCACAGGCGAAGCTGCTCCGTCCCCCAGGCCTGCTTAGGAAGTTGTACAAAGTCTTTTGTTTTGGGGGGGAAACAACAAAAGGTAAACAAAAAAGACACTTTGAAAAGGAAACTCTCTTTGTCTCAGTGGAGTAAAAAGTTCCTGTCCCCAGGGGGAAGCACCTCGGCCCAGCGGGGGTGGCAGGGCCAGTGAGCACCCAGCCGGAGGGAGACCTGTTGAACTTTGCAAAATTTAAAAAAATGTAGTCACTGGAATAGCACCGTAGTTTTGAACACTTCCTCGTGGTAACAAAATGTGTACTTAAATTATTTTGGTTATTCTGTGCTCATATGTGACATATCCAAACTGTCTCATTTTAAAAAAAATAATAATCACCTCTCCATACAAAGGTAGGCACCTGGCACCTGCTCTGAGGTGGGGCGAAGGCCATGAGTGCCTGAGTACGGGGGAGGATGCCTAGGCAGTTCCTCTGCACTCAGACATGCTTAGAAAACTCATCATTCCACCTGGGACCTTCAGTATTTTATAATAAAGAGGTTTTGTTTTATTTAATGTAACCTTCAAGAATTTAAACACACAAAAATGCGGGGGGTGTTCACAATTTTGATAACCACAGTTGTAAATAGAAACATTCATTCATTTCTCATAAGATTATAAATATTTGATACTGGAACTGTAAAATGCACGTTTTATAAACTAGAACAACAAAAGAAAACAAAAACAGAAACCAACTTTGCTTTCTGCTAAAAAGGCATGTCATTTCATTGAGTTTCCTAAGCAGCAGATGGTTATTCACAGACTTTTAAATTACAACTTTTGTTTTTATACTTTCCTTTTTAAAAAGGTTTACGCTATTATGTACAAAGTAAAACTATTACTGCAATGAAATGAAGAGGTTTAAGGCAAAGAGAGAAGTTCACCCTCAGTCCTCAGGGAGACCACTGGGACTCCCAGCTCAGCCATGGGCACACCCCCTGTGCTGTCCCAGCCACAGATGGACAGTTGGACTGGTCTTTCCCCATACACTAAACAGAAGACAGTGTGGAGTTATATATAATGTGTTTGTTTATATATATATAGGTACTTGGTGGGAAATATATGGAATATATTTAATTTACACTGTACCACACCTTCAAAAATAAAATGTATACTTTAGAAAACAAGAAAAGACAAAAGGTGATAAGAAATGATTATTTACACATTTTCTTCCTTCCTCTAGATCCTGGAGGATTCTGAGTTCTTTTGAAAGACAAGATAGCCACGTTCCAGAACTGTAGACTCAAACACGCCTGGTGTGTGTGTGTGTTCACATGCATACAGACATATGTGTAAACACACATATTTATCTTGGAAGAATGTTCTCTATAGCAGAAGCAGCCACTCCAAGAAAAGAAAAAAATAAAGGAAAAAATGAAAAAAAAAAAAAAACAGGGAAGAAAAAGGAAAGGAAGATGATGCCATCTCCCTCTACAGAGCCATCTGCGTGCCCAGAAACAGCGAGCCATGGCCTCATTTCTGGGACCCTGGCTGGCACCCAGGGTGGCTGATGGAGCCACAGGAAATTCCTGGGGCCAAGCCAAAAGGAGGGTCGCCCCACCGCTCGTGGGCTTTAGGCCACATGCCCCAGGCCTTTAGCCCCAGAACGTCGAAGCGCTTCTGCATGGAGGCAGTGCCCAGGGCATGAGGGTTAGGCCTGTGGCAGGGCTGCAGTGGGACTGGGGACAGCGACACAGACCACAGACACAGACGATGTACGCACATGGTTGGGCCTTGGTGAGGAGGAGGAGGAGAAAAGAGGAGGAGGAGGAAGGAATGAGGAGGAGGGAGGAGGAGGAGAAGAAGAAGAAAAAGAAGAAGAAAGGAGGAGCAAGAGGAAAGAGGAGGAAGGAGGAGGAGAAAGGTGGATGAGGAGAAGGAGGAGAGGGAGTTAGACGGCAGGAGGGTGAGGAGAGGGAGCTGGGTGAGGCTGTGGGCCTGGGCGGCTGCTGGTGAGCATGGAGCCGACTTCCCAGGGCAGGCCTGGGATACGCTCGGCTGCTTCCCAGGGCCAAATCCCAGAACTGGCCCAAGGACCCTGGAAGTCCCCTCTCCCCCACCAGGTCCCCTAAGCTCCCCAAGGTCTTGAGGTGGCTGGCCCAGGCTTGAGGTGTGGGCCCCTCCTGGTGTCCTCACCAAGCCAACACAAACAAAGTGGCAGAAGTCATAGACCAAATAGGAGCTATTTATTCGGTTCACAGTTGTGTGAAATGCAGCAATAAAAAATCTTTGGACTTCAGCAAGTTGTTTTAATTTTTTCTTCTTTTGAAATAATAAAAAAGTGTCCAATGTCATATAATGTAGCTTAGGGGATTAAAAAAAGATGAAACCCTAAGCAGCCCCCTTCGCAAAAAAAGAAAAAAAACCCATAAAATTAGCATAATCTCATAAACACAAAAAACAAAAATATTTTATAGTCAGATATTTTGGATTTTATACCACTTGTAAATTATATATACATAGAATATTGCAGAACCTTAGCTAATACACGATATTTTCACTACTAATGCTGGTATAATCTTTATACACTGGCCCTTTATGATTTTAAATTATTGCATTGTTTAGCGCGGACTGAGACCTGGCCTCCATGCCCCCCGCCTTACTCGCTGTCCGACTTGCCCTCCTTGGCCGTGGTGGAGTGGTTGTACAAGCCCTGTGCCATGAGGTGCACGGCCAGCGTGTTCTTGTTGCCCGTGGCCTTCTTGATCTTGGCGCGCTTGTTCTGGAACCAAATCTTGATCTGTGACTCGTTGAGGCTGAGCTCCTGCGCCAGGCTCTGGCGGCGCTGCTCTGTCAGGTACCTGTTGGTCTGGAACTCGGCCTTGAGCCTCTGCAGCTGCTCCGCGGTAAAGGCCGTGCGCGGCCGCTTGTCCTCTTTGTTCGGGTTCTTCTTCTTTGGTTTTCGAGACCTGGGACCTGGGTAGATGTGGTGGACAGAGAGAAGTCAGGTTACCCAGACGTGTGCCACCCAGTAGGCACCGGGTAAGGATTCTGGGACCCCAAGAGAGGAAGTGACTTGTCCAAGGCCACTGGAGGCTGAATGGCCAGATGTGGGGCTGGACTTCGGGCTGGGCATCGGCTCAGCGTGGACCTCCACCACTTGGTGAGGGAGGACAGGGTGTGATGTAAATGGGGCTATGGGGCAGGCCTAGTCGACAGGCTGACCACAGACAACAAACGAGGGACCTCTAGATAAAAGTAAAACTCCTGGATGTAAGCAAAACTCCCTGAACTTTCTGGCCTGGTTTTTCCTAGCCCTTTCTGAGGCTCTGTTCGAGAACAGGGATGGGGGTAGGTGCTGGGAGAGAGGGTTGGAGGGAAGCCTGGGAAAGGCTGCAGGGTGGTCACAGAAGCAGGAGGCACCCTGAGGGTTGTGATGGGGACCCTCATGGGGATACCCCACAGGGTGCCAGGGGCTGTGGGAATCAGGGGCAGGTGGGCCCTGAGGACAGGAGGGGCCCAGAGTGTCTGCCTCCACCCAAGCTCCTCTATGACTCCCAGCCAAGGGCTCTGTGGGCCCAAGTTCATTCTTATAAGGAAGAGTGGGTGTATGCACTTCCCTCTTGGGTCGGGAGGGGCACCGAGCTACTGTGAGTCCTTCATCACCCACTGGAAATCTCCCAGGTTTCCTGTCCAGGAGAGACCTGGGTCTGCAAGGGTGTTGACTGCACCTCCCTTTCCCCAGACATGGGACTTCTTCACTGGGGACAACAGGGTGGCCCAGCTGACCTTGGCCAGGTCCACACTTCTGACCCTCCCCACTGTGCCTCCCCACTGGGATTCAGACTTCTGAAGCTGCCCTGGCCTCCTCCCTATGGACCTACCCCAGGTTTTGGGAAGGGTCGATCTAAGGCTCCTAGGACCTGCTATCCGTGGGGAAAGAGCAGAGGGAGGAGAGCAGAAGGAGGGAAGTGTAATCAGTTTCTTTTTGGTGTTAAGAGGCTCAACCCCCTGGTGTTCCCTGTGGGGGAAGAAGGGAGCAAGGCCATGGGCAGGGAGTGGTGACCTCGCTTCTGGGTTTCAATTTGTGCGGTATATGAATGGGCTTTAGGGAGCATCTGGCCCCAGCTTCATCACAGGTCCCTGCAGCTGGAGAAGGCCGGGGCCCCCCACCCTTCAGGGCCAGAGAGCTGCCGGGCACCCTGAAGAGAAGAGGAATGTGGATCTCATTGGAGGCCCTGGGACTGCACCCTGCCCAGGTCAGGAGAGTCAACTAGGGTGCTGGGGCTGTGCCCAGCAAGAGGTGGGAGACCAACTGGAGGCTCAGGGTGAACACCAAGTACTCCCTCACGGCTAACTGAGCCTTGTGCTCTCCCCAGGAGCCGGGCCTGGAGAAAGAGGATCTGTGGGCACCACCAGGAGGGCACCAAGGGTAGCTTTTAAAGCAACCCACAGGCAGGCTGACCACCCATGAGAGCACCCACCCCAGTGCACACACACACACTCAGTGAGAGTCTTGTTGTAAGCCCAGGGCTCCACGCCAGTGGGCCTGGCTTTGGCGGGGGTAGGTGCAGATTTGGGGATGGAGTTGGCTCTCCGGAATGGTGTTGGGGGATGGGGCACACGGCTCCAGGAGAGGCTTCAGCCTCCTGCTCCCCGAGCCCACCTCTGTCTGGGTCTCCAACCACTCCCTTCCCCAGAGAAGTGTGTGCCCTACCCCCAAACTCTTCCAGTCCTGGGGCTCTTGTTAATGTACCCATGAATCAACCCTCAAAAAGACACCATTTTATAGAAAGAAATTTCCCTAAAATAAAAATTTTTAGTTCCCTTTTTTTGTTGTTGATTTTCTTTCAAAAGACAAATACTTAGGAGTCTCAGAAACAGAATCAAACCTCCCCAAGAAAACTCTCTCTGTCCTTTCTTTCGGAGAAGCCAAAGAACAGAAACATTATCTTGCAGGGATATTTTAAAGCCCATGAAGATAGGCGACTTGGACTGGGCTGGGCCAGGCGGTGCTGCCCAGCTCCTGGGCCGTTGGGGGCTGGCTCGGCGAACTCCGGCGCCTCACAAAGCCCGGCCGAGGCTCCTCGCCCGGCATTGTGAGCCTGTATGTTAATTAAATATTAACAAAGGAGGAAGACGAGAACAATGGAGCAAATTTCAGATCTAGCTGGAGAAATCTGAATTTCATCAGAAATATGCACGCATATTTCTGCGGGATGGCGGCCGAAGGGCTGGCTCACTCCTGCGATGATCTGGACCAATGACCCCCGCAAAATAGTTGAGGGTTTGGGGGCAGCGGGGATCCGCTGCCAGCTTGGGGTCAAACAGCCCACTCCTAATGGCGGTTCCCAGCCGCAGACCCGCATGGAATGCAGTTGATGATTTCTACAAGGACATGGACTTAGTTTTTTAAAATCCCAGATCTATGAAAAACACAGCCAGCATCTCTGCACGGCCCCTGCGAATGCTGCCTCTTTCCTATCAGCAGCCCCCAGGAAACCTGGAGAGAAGGTCCTTCCTATTTGGGGATGGCAGGTGCAGGGAAGGACGTCTACCTCCCTTGTCCTCGCTGTGTGCAGGAAGGGGGCTGAGCCCCACCACTGGGGGCTGCCGTTGGCAAATAAAGTGGAGCCAAGGGAAAAGGGCGCCTTTATTTTCCTCCTTCCCTGTGTGTGTCCTCCTGCGTCCCACCGGTCAGCGCAGGCCCGAGGGGCAGAAGGCAGAGCAGCAAAGGGCCTCGCCTTTTCTTCCCCGAGCACAGCCGGGATAACCGAACGGTAGGACGAGTCTGGGGTGGGCTGGGGCATGCATCCCGGGCCTGGCCTGAGTTGAAAGATCGCAGGGAAGGGGTTGAGAGTGTGCACTTCCGGGCCCATCTTCCAGCCACCCCGTTCCCACCAAAAAAACTACAGTGGGGGAGACATGGGTTTCGGGCTGGGAACAGATGCCCTAAGGCGGGGTGGAAGAGAGAGACGGGAGACAGAGAGAGAGTAAGGAGAGAGAGAGAGACAGAGAAAGAAAGGAGGTCCCTTCTACGGTGCTAAGAAGTCTGTGCTCCCTAGCGAATCAGTCCTGCCGCTGGACGGCTGGCCGCTGCCCCGGCAGGCGTCAGCTTCACACAATGTCGCGTGAGTCTTTGTGCGTGTGTGCGGGGGAGGTTCGAGATGTTTTCCTCCCGGTAAGTTCCCGCGCCAGCACCGCCCCCCAGCTCCGCGGACCTCCCCACGGCGGGCTGGGACGCGTGGTCCCCGCGGGCTCACCTGAAGAAGGCCGGTCCGAGTAGCGCGTACAGTAGACCCACGCCGGCCAGAGCATGGGCTGCGCGCCCAGGTTGGCGCCGGCTTGCGAGCTGTCCGAGTCCGAGCTCACCGACAGGTCGCCGCCGCCCAAGCCGCGGGCCTTGAGCGCCCCGTCCAGGGGGCCGCCGGGGTCGCTGCCTTTCTTGGCGCCACCATGCAGCGAGAGCGTCTTGGAGCCGCCTTCCCCGTCACCCGGAGAGTCGCTGCCGGCGGCTGGGAGCGGCCCGCCCGAGCCGGGCGTGCACGGCGGGTTCTGCCGGGGCTCTTGGGAGCCGGACCCCAAGAGCTGCTCCGAGCCGCCGGCGCCGCCGCCTCCCTCTGCACCGCTCGCGCCGCCTTCGCCGCCGGCTCCGCCGCCCCTTCCTCCTCCCGCACCCGCACAGCAGGTCCCCGCGTCCTTTCGCCGGCCGAACTCGGGCCGCAGGATGTTGTCGATGAAGAAGTTGGTGATGCGGTGCGGGTGCTGGTGGTTGCCGGGCGCCTGCAGGACCGCGGGCAGCATCAGAACCCGCCGGCGCCCGGTGTCCGCTTCGCCCGGGCTGCTACCACCGCCGCTGCCGCCCGAGCCGCCGCCGGGGCTGGATTCCGGCTGCCGCTGTCCCTCCACCGCCGCCGCCGCTTCGCCGGGCTTGGGGTCATTCTCCTCCATGCTGTTCACAGTAAATCCCAGACTGGTTCTCCGGGGACGCCCTTCCAAATCAGCCTTCGGCCCTCCCGCGGTGCACACGCAGACCCCCGCGCCCCCACCCCGCCGAGTCTTCCGAGGGCTTGCGCGGCGGCCGCGGCCAGGGCTGGGGTCCTACAAGTCGCCGGCCGCGCTCGGCGGGGAGCCACGTTTGAATCCACGAACTGGGTTAGAAACACCAAGAGCCGCGCGGCTCGCCCAGACGCCGGGAGATTCAACAGAGCCAAGTCCTCGACTTCGCCGCGCGGCCAGGCTCTAGACAGTCGCAGTGGTCCGGCGGGGACGCGGGCCGCCTCCCGGGCTCAGCGCTCCTCTCCGCGTCCGGCCGCCTCGGGCTCCGGCGCCGCCGCCTGGGCCGCCCGGGACGAGAGCTGCGCGCATGCAGGCAGCGCACTCTCCGGCGCTCACGCCCGCCCGGGCCGGCTCCGGCCGCCGCCGCCGCCCGGCCGTCCCCGCCCGCGCGCCCCAGCCGGCCCTCGAGGGTGCGGGGCGCCCGCGGTCAGCGCGCCCGCCACCTCCCGCACGCACATGGAGGCCCCCTCCGCGCGGCCGCCGCCCCGCTGCGGGCCGGGGCGCCCCACCGGCGTGCGGCCGCGCCCCCGCCGAGCCCCGCGGAGCTCCGCAGCCCGAGTCGCATGGGTGAGAGACGCGAGGCCAGGGCCGGGCCGGGCCGGGCTGGGCCGCCCGCGCTCCCCGGCCGTCCGCCGCCCTCGCCGCCTCGGCCTCCGCGCGGGCTCGGAAATTTCCAGGCCACTCGGCGCAACCTGAGACACTTTCACTCTGGATTTTTGTTCTTATTTTTAACAGAGCCCCCTCGAGTGACGTCGCAGGCCGGTCTCCTGGACACGTGCCTCGGGCCAATGGCCGCGGCGCCGCGCGCCCACGTGATGCTCCGGCCGCCGCTGGGTGACAGGAGCCGCCCGCCGCCCCTCCCCCCCTTAAAGCGGCCGCGTCCCCCGCTCCGGGTGCGGGAGCCCGGGAACCCGGAGAGACCCCCGACCGCGTCTCCTGCACTCGCCTGCGCTTTCCCTGTCGCTTCGCGGTTCAGGGATCTGAGTCACCCCGCGACAGCCCCGCCAGGTCACCCCGGGGCGTGTAGGTGGGCACGCACAGGAAGATCGCTATTTTTAACATTTCCATATTGTTTACCGTGGGATGAAATCCCACAATTCCTTGCACAAAATGCATAAATAATATTAAATGAGCTGCCGAGATACAAAGGGACTTTTGTGGTCCGCTTTCCTTGCTGATGGAGAGGAATAGTGTCACTCCCATTTGACTCGGTAACCCGGCAGCTTCCTGTCTTAAACGCAGAGCTGGCGCGCAGGACACTCCTCCTGCAGACACTTATTGTAAGTGTGCGTGTGTGTGCGTGTGCGTGTGTGTGCGTGTGCGTGTGCAGGGAGGCGCGTGCATACGGCCGCATTCCACCCGGGGACAGCGACCCTCATGAAACATGCATAGCAATCCGGAAGAGCGGGGAATGCAGTGTGCGGCTCCGTTTGCGAAGGGAGAAATCCAGGAGCCTCGGAGGTTCTAAGGGAATCCTTTTTGCCAAGGAGGAGAGGGGTGACGGTTCAGCTAAGACTTCAAAACCAAGTCGCCCGCCCCCCTCTAACTTCTTTACTCTGGTTGAGGAGCTCCCAGACCGGTCATCTCATTTTCTTTGTTTTAAAATCCTTTAAACTAATTTTGCAGGACAGCAGGGCCCATTTGAAAGGAGTATTAGGAATCCAATGGCAAGGGTGGGAGCCCCAGTTGGTTTCTCCCCTCCTCTCTCTTCATCTTTTCTAGACTTTCCTTCCAGCTGTTGTCAGAATGTCCAAATGGAAGTTCTGTTTCCTCTTCTCTTCCCCCTCTCCCTTGGGCTCCTTCCCATTTGCTCTTCTCTACCCACCAAACACCCGTTGTTACCCCAGGCTCACCTGTCCATCATCTAAAATGCATTTTTATGGAAATGTGTGAATTCCTGGAAACATCCGATAGGGCAGCTCTGGGGGTGTGGGAGCGTTTGCATGCCATAAGTACCCTCAGGGCAGGGGAGGTGGGGAGGCCGCAGCCTGGCATGGACACCCTAGGGCTGATTGGCCTTGGGCAGCTGCAGGGTGCTCAGCAGCCCAGACCCCCGCACAGGCAGCCAGCGGGGAGCTGCCAGGCCCTGAGTGAACTTGGGGAGTCAGGGCAAGCATCTCCGAGGCAGGGTGGCCTGCCAGGCCCCCTGGAGGCCTGAAGGTTGCGCCCTGGCCTTGCGAAGCTCCCTTCCCGGGGTCCATCCCAGGTGCTGTCCTTAGTCTGCAGGCTTCAGAGTGCTGGCGGGGCTGAGATGAGAAACAACAGTTCCCACAACCTGCTCCCAGGAAAATTACCCCCAGCCAGGAGGGGAGTGGTGGGGGAGGAGGTGCTGGGCTGGCCTCCTGGTCACTGGAGGTGACTCTGGTCAGAGTGTGCCGTCTGTCCTGTGTGTCTAGGGCAGGGTGGGGAAGCCTGTTCTCGCTGGGGCTGGATTCCTCCACTTTTTCTTCATTGGAGGAGTCCTTACCAAATGTTCTGACTAGGCACACACCCTGCCAGGGGTCCTCCCCGAGTCTCAAAAAAATCAAACTCCACAGTCTACCTGCCCCCAGGAAAATAGGGCTGGTGAGAGTTTGTGGGACGTCTTATTGACACTTACTTGGTTTTCTGGGGGGAGAATTTTCCGCAACTCTGGAAACCCTGATGATCACCAGTCAGGAAAGGGAGGGTCCAGTGACTTTGGGTCTCCTGAACATGGTGTTGGGGGAGGAGCGGCTCTGAGCTGTTTTGCTTCCTGCAAAACCATCCCAGGTTAATGGCTCCTCCTGTCCCATGAAAGCCAATTAGGCGGCTTCCTGAGAAGTATTTTCTGAATTCATAGGACTCTTTGCCTCTGACTGCCTCGGTATAAATGGCCCCAAGACGCTGGGCTTCAGCCCTGTGCTTTCCTGCGACGCAGACCCCAATTCGTGGCTGCAACAGAGACTCTGGGAACAGAGCGTCACCTCCGGGGCGCCTGGCGGGCCGGTGGGCGGAGACCTGGCCGCGCAGGGTCTGCAGGCTGGGCCGTGGGGTTGGCTGGAGGAAGAAGAGGAATTCGTGGGTCGCTGTTGTGGAAAGGAGGAGGGTGAGAGGTGGAGGGAGGAAAAGGAGAAAGATAAATAAATGAAGAGAGAGATAACTAAAGGGTACCTGGCCCCCAAAGTGGACCCAAACACGAAACAACTCTGGGAAAGCGTTGAGAGGGGTCACCGTTCAAAGGGCCGGGGAAGCTGGGATGGGGCTGCAGAAAGTTGAGCTGCCCAGGGGCTGGGCGGTGCTAAGTTCCATACACACGGAACTCTCCGCGAGGTGTTTCAGGAAGCTTCGAGAAGCGCGCGTGAGACCCTGCTGCAGCTGGGACGGCGCCTCGCGTTTTCTGGTGATGCGGGGCAGTGGCGTGTCTCTCCTCCGCTATGCCAGCCCCGGCTGCAGCGCGCCCGCGAGCCCAGCGCCTCCGCTTTCTCCCCCGAACGACCGCCGCCCTCAAGGTCGGCCTTTCTATACGGATCAGACTAGCCCTCACCGGACATTTGTTTCTCCCGGGAAGGAAAGTGAGGCTTTGGCCCAGGAACCCCGTTTTCCTTCTAGCCTCACCCGGGAATCGGAGAGCGCCCGCAACACCCGCTTGCGGAGGACGGTCCTCCATATTTCCCAGGCTCGCTGCACAAAGAGGGGCCTCAGAGAGGGCGAGCAGGAAAGCAGATTCCAGATGCCGTGCGCCTCAGGACAGGGACGCTAGTTTTGCAAACAAAACCTCGGTGAAGCGCCCCGGAGACACCGGGCGCCCGGCTGCCGAGCTAGGCTCCCGTTTTTATCCGAAAACGAGGCCAGAGAAGGGAGACTTTTCCGGACCCTCTGCATCCCCTCACTCGCCTCGCTTCTCTAGGTTGACGTGGTGACACTTGGAAAAATGGACTCAATGAGAGCCATTCGCTCGCGGCGGTCTAGTTACTCGCGGGGCAGAGAAGCCCAACAATCCCTGAGAGCGAGATCTCCACCCCAGCCAAAGCAGGCCGGGCCAGCTCTGCGCCCCCGGCCAGGAGCCGAGCCCCGCAGGGCCAGGCCCCAGGCGCCGGGCGGGGAATTGGGGCCGACAGGAGAGAAACACCTTCCCCCCGGCGAGCAGAGAGCCACCCTCGGCTCCTGGTGCTGACGCTCCGACCCGGCCTGCCCGCAGACAAAGGCCGAAAGGAAGGGACGCGGGGAGCAGGGGTGGGGCGGGCGGGGCCAACCGGCGCAGACGTTGCGTGTCTGCGCTCACCTCTGAGCAAAGGAGGACCCGCCTACAGGCCCACCGGGCGAGCTCAGGGACCGGTTCTGGGAGGCTGGGTCTAGAGTCTGGGACTTCTTCCGAATAACCCCCGGAAGGGAGGGGTTAAATGCGGCAGCGGCGGGCCTGGAAAGGGCCGGGAGCGTCGTAGGAACTGGGGTGCACAGGCCCTCGCATGCCCAGCGCTTCGCCTTTCCCCGCTTCAGGCCCGCCAGGGGCGCGCGTGGCGCGGGCAGAGCCTGGTGGGTGGGTTGGCGCCGACAGAAGCTCGGCCGGGGAGGTGGTGGGCGGGCGCATTGCACGTCCTGGTTCTGCCCGGATCGCTGGAGAAGCGCCTGTGCTGAGCCAAAGCTCCCTGGGCGTTGGGGAAGCAGAGTGGGCCAGGCGCCCACTGGGGACCACTCTTCTGTCCTGCTTGATACTTAGCCGAGGCTCGCCCGGGGAGGGGGGCAGCTGGGGGCCGGTGGGCAGATCTCCAGAGCTGGCGTCTAAAGATGCAGAAACTGTCCCTCACCTGGTTTCTCTGGAAAGCAGTCACTTCTGAAGGAGAATCTGAAGGATGGCTCTACTTGTGCTAGCAACCCCCACACCTAAACCAGGTCCTCTGTACCCGCTCCCCATTTCGGCTCTCCAGCGCCAGGGGAGCCTCATTCTGGGTGACCTGTCTTCCGTCTTCCCAGGAATCACCTTTCCTTGGCAGCTCCCTGCCTGCTCTCTTATCCTGTTTGACTGCTGTTCTTAATAAAATTTGGACTCCTGTGGAAGGTGGGCCCACTTCCACTCAAGGCACACCTGAGACTCCCCAAACAGGCCTGCACTCTGGAGTCTTCCGGGAACCCTGGGAGGGGCAGGTTTGGGAGTACAGACTGTTTCACCACCTAATGCCTGGATTCTTATGAAAATGCCCCCTCAAAATCGCAGCAACCCAGAAGAAAGTGGCACCTCTCAAATAATCCAGTCAAATAAGTAAAATTAGTTTGGCAAAGGAATTTGAAGAATGGCACCCATGGCTTGAGCTAGCTAAGCATACCAAACAGGAAGGAAAACACAGAAAAGGATAATGAGCCTTGAAATACATTAGCCACCTTCTCCAGCCTTGCAACCATTCACAGATGGAGGAAATTCTAGTATGTATCCACCATCTTCCTTTTGACCTTTGGAAAGAAAACAAGATGTTCAAAAGAAACCCCTGAAACATCAGTCCCACCTCCCAGAGCCTGACGTTTTCTTCTCTTCTCTTCTTTCCCCAAAGGCTACAGGTAATCACAGAGAGGCTAGTGTAGCTTAAACTCCTATACAGTGACTTCCCAGCATTTTTGGAAATAGGATTTCCGTAGTTAGAGATTTACAGAATATTAGGCAAGTACAATCTAGATTTAACTCAAACTATCTGGATCCAGCCCAGCCAAACTACCTAGAGCTTGTTAGATGATAATTCATTAGTCTAGATTTCACATGAGAAAGAAAATATCTAAACAATCACCCCCACTCTTAACTATCACAACTGAATCATGCTTAAGCGGGAGAACTCAATTAATTTATATAAGTTGGGGGAAATGTATTTTTGAAAACATATGTTTAAGCTAAAGTCATGAATTGATTTTTCATTTATCAAATATAACTATATAAAGATATATAGTTTTATATAAAAAGGCAACTAAATTGCGAATTAAATTCAAACATTTCCTCTACTTAAATGATCAGTTCCTCTGAGTTCAACAAAGTTGGCCATTTCTTTAGCACGAGCATCTTTAATTGACATACGTGCTTACATGTATGGTATGGGGGGATCCCTGTACCCAATCAATCCCTGTGTTGAGTATAGAAGCTTGTGTGAAGCGTGGCGACCTTTTACAAGCACAAAGCCTCAGTAGTGACCTTCGTGGACTCACATGCGGAGGGGCACTGTGTCACCCCTGCATCATGGACTCTTGCCTCTAGCCTTGTCCAAGGCCCAAACCACCTTTCCCGGGGATGCTGTGCAGTCTCACTCCCACCAGGGATGGGGACCTGCTGTCCACCTTTGGACACACTCCCATCCTTTCCCTCTCATCCCAGCACTTCTGGCTCCACTTAAAGGAAAGCAGTAGAACAAGATTTCTCAGTTAAGGCACATTATGGAAGTGCTCTGTTTCTCCTCTAAAAAAATCCTCTTTTCCTCTAGAAACTCACTCAAATAGAGTGAGTTTAGAAAGGCTGTGTTGTAGTTTATGTTATGGAGTTGCAGGGTTTTGTGTGTCTCACATCAGTTAATCCCCTAAGACACAACAGCCTCTGTGATGACGGCAAAGTTGAGCAACTCGACACCATTTGGGGCATTAACACAGGCTAGGAGAAAGAAACGGGATACGCGCTAAGGTTTCCCACGTATGGAGCGAATGCCCTAGAATTCCTTGGGATTTACACCTCCCCATCTACCAGGAAGGAGAAATGCGAGCTGTTCTCATTCACTGCCTGCTGTTTGTTCTCTGTTCGTACTGCCAGGACTAATTTTGGCCGCTGCGCAACCTTTGGGTTACAGATGTTAGGGGGCCGCGCCTAGGGGGAAGGGGACTCTCAGCCCCGGCCAGAAAGTTTGGTACTAAGGCGCTGGGCGTGCTCCCAGGGCAAAGTGCGGGTTCCTCAAACGAGGAAGGTTGGGCGGCACTTAGGGTTTTCTGTCTTGTTTGCAGACACAAGTTCAGCTGCACCTCGTGCAAAACAGCCCTGAAAGCTCAGGCTTGAAGACGAAATGTGGAGCCCAGGCTCCTTCGATTGAAAACCTCGCTACGAGGACACTCTCCGCAGTCGCCGGCCAGAAAGGATTTCGGATCAAGATCCGCAGAGTGGTGAGCAACTCCCAGGGTCCGAGGCTGAGCTGACTGCAGGCTGGTAGCCCTTCTGCCCGTAGGAGAATCTCCTTTCTGCAGAAACTACTCCTGGAAAACAAAACCGAGTGAAAAGAAGGGCAATGCGGGTCTGCGCGGAGGGGAGCTTCCTCCCCGGGGAAAGAGGCGCCTCGCGCTGGCTGACTCGCCGGTGGGGTGCAGGTAGGGGCAGACTAGGGTGAGAAGGGGGGATCGCGGAACACGGGTCCCCCGCGGGTCCGAGGGACAGGGTGCAGGCGCATTCCAGGCACCTACGGCAGTCCCATCTGCTCTGAGGAGCGGGAGCCGGCCCCGGGCTCTCCACATCTCCCGGGAATCCAGAAGCTGGACTGCGGGGCAGTTGTATCGGTGGGGGAGCCCCTAGCTGGATTTTCCTTCCGCTTGCTCCCTTTATCGAGTGTCCACGCCCGGCAGGAGCTGGCTGTGTGCCGCCAGGGGTGGGTGGAGGTGCGTGGGGCGCGGGCCTTGGCTCACTCACTTGGGTGTGTCCCAGTCTTTTTCCTCCAGAATTAGAGGCCTCTGCAGGGGGCAGAGCCCCTCGCCCTCTCTCCTAACTCTCCTCCCCACCTCGACACGGCCTGAGCTAAGATGTGGGGAGCTTCCAGGGCTGTATCCCTAGGAGGCCCCGAGCACTTTTCCTCCGACGGTCGAGGAAATCAGGTCCCTTCTCTCTCCCTAGCGCCCTCTGAGGAAGCCGCGAACCTCTGGGCGAGCATGGTTTTACTGGGGATTCCCAGAGACCGGCCCTGTGCCCAGCGACGCCCGGAGGGGAGAGGGAGCTCTTTGGAGGGGCGGTGTGGGGGTGGGTGTCTACACTGCGTCCTCTGGCTCGGAGCAGGACCCGGTGATGCGCCCTGGCCGAGCTCCTGTCTCCTAGGGATGGAGGGGACTCGGGCCCTGTCGGGACCCTTCGACAAGGAAGGCCCGGGGAAGCCTGGATCCAACAGGCACCGGGATCCAGGAGGCAGACTCCTTGGTTCCGAACGGTTCTTCCGGAGCGAAAACTTGCTCCCCGTTCCCCCAAGTCCCTCGCAGGCTGGGAGGTGAAGGGAGGGACAGAAGCTGGGCCTCCTCCGCAGCGCCCAACACCCTGGGCTCTCCGGGCCCCGGGACTCGGCTCGGGTGCGTGGAGGGACGGCCTGGAGCGCAGATTTGTGAATGAACCTCGGAGCTCTTTGCAGCTCACAGATCAGAGGCTGCGATCGCCCCACCGACGTGGTCCAATGAGCCGCTGCAATAAGCGCTTAGCGACGAAGCTGGGGCACGGCCTGGACTCTGCGGCTCCGCGCTGCGCGGGGCCGGACGGGGGAGGGGCCCAGCCACTGCAGCAACTTCAAAGCCGGTGTCGGGACTCAGCGATGGGTGGGCTCTCCCCGGGCCGCACGGTTCGCAGGGGCCTCCCCTAACCCCCACCGCCACCCCGCCGAAACGCCCAGAGGCGTTCCCAGCCCAAGTGATACGTGACTCTGACTCCCGGTTGTCTTCGCGCCCTCCGCTCGCGCGTCCTTGGCGTCTCCCCCGGGACCCGGGGGGCGATCACATCCTGAGACCTAATCCGGTTACTTCCGGGCGCGGGTCTCCACCGCCTCCCGGGCTGGTTGGACTCACTTCCTAAGTAGCTGTCTCATTGACAGCTCCCGCGCCGCCAGTTCCTCTTTCAAAATTCAAGTCTTCGGCTGCCTCCCTGAGGTTCTGCGTGCGAAGGGAGGGGAGGGGAGGAAGGAGCAGACACCCACGTGTGCCCGGGAGGGACCCACACAGACTCCCCGCTCCCGCAGCAGAGGCCCTGGGCCCCCTCTTCAGAGGGAAATCGATGAGCAGACACTAAGCGACGCGAGTCCCGGCCCCTTCCCCGCCGGGGGATCTCCGTGCGTTCCAGAAGCGCACCTGGAAGCAATTCTCCTAGCGTAACCGTCGCCTCCTAAGCCTCTCCAGCATCTTCACGTCTCCTAAGCATCTGCACGTTTCTGCGCTGTTTTCTGGAGGACCTCGGAGAGGCGGAGGGGACGATGGGGTGCCGTGGGGGCAGGGAAGGAGAGAGGTCAGGGGTTACGCAGGATTACGGCTCGGCTCGGTGACCCCTCTCATCTTCCGTGGCCCAGGGAGGGGATCTGTAGCGAGGGGTCCGGACCTCTTTTGCAAAACCGAATTCTAGGGTAGGGCTTGCGTCCCGTGAAGCACCGGTGAAGTCCAAATGAAGAACGCCGGCGAGCGGCCGGGAGCGGAAGAGAGCAGGTTCTAGGCGCCCCGGAGGGAAGAGGGGCATGCATCCCCAGTGACCACGGCTCGAGGTGGCGTGTCTGCTCCGCACCCGACTACAACCAACCCGGCCTGCGCCCCTCCACGCTTGAACAGGGCGGGTCCACCCGGGCGGCGAGCTCCGCGGGCGCAGCGCAGCCTCAGCCCCGCGCCTCCCTCCCGCTTGCTGGGGAAGAGGTGGGAAGCCCTCTCCGCCGCACCCTGGCTCCCACCGCAGGCCTCCGTGAATAAACTCTCTCAGGGGGACTGTACTGTCCCCCATCCTCTGTCCCAGCCTCAAGAGGGACTTCCTGAAAATATGGCAGCCAAGAATAGGGTGAAAATGTGAGACTGAGGTTTCCTTCTCCACCTCCCCCTGCCCCCTGCCCCTTCACCTCCCCACTTCCCACCAGCCCAAAGGGGTCCAGCTGTAACCACCACCACCGCCACCGCCACCTCTACCGTGCTTACGACTGTCACCATTTCCTTCCAGCTCCAGCTGTCTCTTGGACGCCTCCACTGGAAGGCCGACGGGCATCTTCAATTTCACGTGTTCACTTCAGAGCACCCCTGAGCCGGCTACCCCTGCTCCCCTGATCTGCGCCTTCCCAGTTTCTCCCAGTCACCCAGCTGGCCACCGCGCAGGAGACATCCCTGATCCTTCATTTTCTCTCTGGAGTCACCCCCTGTCAATTAGCAAGGCCTGTTGGCTCTGCCTCCACATCTGTTCCACAGCTCCCCCAAACTCCTCCGTCCTCCACTAGCCCCCAAGCCCTTTCCCCTGCGCCTGCAGGGTTGCATGGCCTCTTAACCAGCTCTCCACCTCACACGTGTGCCCTGTGGTTCACTGTTCTCCATACAACAGAGTAAGCTTCAGCTCAGACCTATCCTTGGTCAAAACCAGTGGTTTCCACGTGCACTGAGAATTAGACGCATTCTTACAATGTCCTTCAAGGCACCATGAAATCCACCCACCACTTCCCTTACCTGAGGTTCTAAGTCTAGTTTTGCCAGTTCTTGAGCCTCCAAGCCATGGCCACCTCAGGGGAGTTCTTTTCCTTTGGTCCTGGCTCTTTATTCATCTGGTACATTCTTTCTGTGCATCTTTGGGCACAGACTGTCCCCCAGAGAAAGGTCATACGATCTAAAATGACTCCCTAATCCAGTTGTGTTCTCCACAGCACTTATGGCTACTTGCGGTTGTAAATGTGTTGGTGCGTTTTTTATTGGTCTCTTATCTAGAACGTACCTTCCAGAGGGCAGGGCCTTGTCATCTTCCTGGCTGTACCCCCAGTCCTGCTAAGGGACTGGCATACAGTAACATGAAGCCAGTGCTCTCAGACTTTCTGGTCACAGGACTGCTTTATGCTCTTAGAAATTACTGAGCCCCCGAAAGAGCTTATGTATATAGCAACAGATAGATTTAGACGTCTAACCAGTGATTTGCACAGTATTAGAGATTGAAATGGTAATGTTTTAAATATATTGATTAATTGATTCATTTACAATGATAATAAAAACCCACTTCATGTTTACTTAACATATTTTAATGAACATTTATTCTATTCCCCCAAGCAAAAAAAAATAGTCTGAAGAGTGGTCTACATTTTTGTACCGCTCTTTAATATCTGGCTTAATTAATAGAAGATAGTTGGATTCTCATTTTTCCTTGTGCCACCCGTTATTTTGGTTCAGGTATATGAAGAAAGTGCAGTCTGTCACAGATACGTAGTTGAAAACTGGAGGAGTATTTTTCAGCCTTGGCAGATAATTGTGGATATTTTTCCTTGATATTACCCCAAAATTCAACAAATGGTGGTTTCTTAAAGGTTGGTTGCAATGTGGAATCTGAAACCATGTCAATGAACATTTCATACTCTATTACATTAAAATCCATTGATCTATCTTGCACTTTGAATGGCTCTTTTGGCCACAAAATATTTCCTTCCTTCCTTCCTTCCTTCCTTCCTTCCTTCCTTCCTTCCTTCCTTCCTTCCTTCTTCCCTCCCTTCCCCTTTTCCTTTCCTTTCCTTTCCTTTGCTTTCCTTTCCTTTCCTTTCTTTCCCTTCCCTTCCCTTTCTTTTCCTTTCCTTCCCTTTCTTTTCCTTTCTTTCCCTTCCCTTCCCTTTCTTTTCCTTTCCTTCCCTTTCTTTTCCTTTCCTTCCCTTTCTTTTCCTTTCCTTCCCTTTCCTTTCCTTTCCTTTCCTTTCCTTTCCTTTCCTTTCTCTTCTCTTCTTTTTGACAGAATCTCTCTCTGTCGCCCACACTAGAGTGCAATGGTGCAATCTCAGTTCACTGCAACCTTGCTTCCTGGGTTCAAGCGATTCTCCTGCCTCAGCCTTCCCAGTAGCTGGGATTACAGGTGCACGCCACCACACCCAGTTGATTTTTTGAATTTTTGGTAGAGATGGGGTTTCACCATGTTGGCCAGGCTGGTTTCAAACTCTTGACCTCAAGTAATCCACCTGCCTCAGCCTGCAAAATATTTCATACCACTGTATATTGGTCATTTGGAAAATATTGGTTCACTGAGTTATGCAGGTCTTCCAAATGTCAAACTATTTCCTTAAACAATATCACAAAATCACATTTGTTAATATCACCACTAATCTCATTGGAAAGCTCTTTAAATTTGAGAGGTTGTCCGGCTCATGGTGTTGGATACAAGTTTTCAAGAATTTTAATTTTCACTTGAAAACTCACATTTTACCATTAGTGGCAAATACTACTTTCCTCAACATGACAGGCTCGTTTCATTTATTTTTGAGAAAGTATCTGCCAAAGACCTAAGTCTCAATAACCGTGATTTGTCTGTTGGATGCTATTCCATGTAAAATGGGGCTCTGTGAAAAAGCCGGCTCAGTTAGCTCATGGCTGTAGCCCGCCCGTCCTTTTCCTTGGGGGCTGCTGTTCTCCTGTATGACAGCTCCCCATTTCTTCACCCAGAATATTGAAAAGACATGTGCTCCAGAGCTGAGCTTTAATAAAACTAATTCTTTTTACTGCTTCTTCAAGAACATTCTTAAGTGAAACTGGCATTTGAAAAACAAAACACAAAAAACAAAAAACCTGTGAGTGTCTGGCTGTGAAGAGCATGCCATCCGCTATCAGTGCTGATGTCCACAGGCAACAAAGCTACATAATGACTCACAGTGTAACTGTAAAAATTCTGGAGGTTGTCTTAGGGACCCCCAGGATCTGCACTAAATGAGATTTCATAAATGAATGGATGACTTTTCCTACACAATCATGTATGGTGGATACTAGACGTCCATAGTTTCTCATCCAAAGCTATTGGCCACAGACACGTTTCAGGATTTCTTTGATTTTGGAGAGGCTGGGTGGTGCACATATCAGGTGCCACCTAACCCCATGGGGTGTGAGCAGGGCCCTGTCTAACACATTAATAGTTCTGTGGTGAAGACAGGAAAAGCCGAACAAGCAGGTAACAGTCACAAGGGGCCCATGTCTGTTCAAGTCAGGTTCTGCCATCCAAGGAGGTAGGAAGATACCCTCCCATTTTGAAAGCATTTGGATTTTGGAGTTGTAGACCAGGGGTTGTGGGCCTATCTCCTGATCTCCACTCCACAAGGGTACCTCGGGGAGCAGATGGCGGGTGAAGGAGCTGGGAACGGAGCACCCAGGGCCTGTTGAACTTCCACTCTGTCATCTCCCCTCCCCTCCTCACCCGATGACCTCAACCACATGGCCCTCCTAACACCAAGTCATCCAAGGCCTTTCCTGCCAGGCCCTGGGATTCCTTCCCTCTTCTCCAACCTTGTGTCCTCCACACACTCTGAACTGTGGCCATGCGGGACCACTCTGCATGGTCTTCTGATATTCCACCGGAATCTCTCTGATCATTCTGGACTCTGGGCCTTGTCTCTCTAGGGCTATAGCACCTACTGGTGCCTCTCAGCTTCCCTGTCCTCCCTGGGATGCACCTTCTTTTTTAATTTAGTTTTTAATATTTATGGGTACATAGTAGGTGTATATATTTGTGGGATGTCATGTTTTGATACAGGAACACGTGCAGTAATCACAGCATGGAAGATAAGAGTATCTGTTCCTTTAAGCGCTTATCCTCTGTGTTGCCAATAACCCTTTTAGTTATTCTTAAATGTACAACGAAATTATTATTGACTGTAGTCACCCTTTGTGCTATCAAAGAGTAGATCTTATTCATTCTTTCTAATGACTTTTTTGTACCCATTAGCCATCCCCACTTCCCCATTCCTGAAGGACCACTTTGGATTCCTGAACTCCCAAGAAACGTTCCAGCTTTTGGACTTTAGTTTTTCCAATATCACTTATGAGGACCCAAGTTCTACCAGGGCTTCTTCTACATTGAAAATAATTATATCTAAGACTGAAACAGAAATTTTTGTCTTGGCAAATTTGATATCTGGAGGGTGAATATTACTTAGAAAACAACCACCTTCTACTTTCTGCTTCTCTGAATTTGATGATTCTCGGAGCCTCATGTGAGTGGCATCTTGTATTATAGTATTTGTCTTTTTGTGTTTGGCTTGTTTCACTCAGCATAATATGCTCAAGGTTCAGCTGCATTGGAGCCTGTGTTGGACTTTCATTCCTTTCTAAGTCTACTATTCCACTGTGTGTATGTAGGCAACACTTATTCACCACATTTTCTGTACCCATCCATCCCTCTGTGAACACTTGGGAGGGGTTGGGGACGCATGGCCCCCAGCCATAGGTGTGCTGAGCACTTAAGATGTGCCCAGTGTGGCTGAAGAGTGGAATTTTCAATATTAATTAATGTAAATATAAATTTACAAACAGATTTTCAATTCAGCTCCTGGGAAATCCCCAAAGATGTCTGAAATAACTTGGGCGTGTGAATCTACTTTTTTACCTGCAAGCTTAATAAACCCTAAATGCAGGTCAAGTATTTGCCATGGAAATGCAATGCCCAAGTTGAGAGATGCTAGAGGTATAAAATGCATGCTGGAATTGGAAGACTTAGTACCAAAATAAAAAAAAAAAGAGGAGGTAAAATGTCTTGTTAATTTGTATATTGATTACTTTTGAAATGATAATATTTTGGATATATCAGGTCAACTAAAATATTATGTAAATTAATTGCATCTGTCTCTGGTGTTCATGTGGCTGATAAAAAGCTTAAAATTGCATTGTGGCTCACATTTTCTTTCTGTTGGTTTTGCTAGCCTAGAACGGGTCTGAGCTCATCAGAGAAGGGAACGAGGGGAAGAAGAATTTTGCAGGGAACAGGGCTGTGAGGTGCACTGTCAGGAGTCAGCATAGGGCTTGACTGCCTTGCTTTGTGAGGTGAGGGTGTGGTGGGTGGCTTCAGGGAGTGAATGGCTGCCATAACAAAGTACTACACACTGGGTGGCTGAAATAACAGGAATTTATTCTCTCACAGTCAGGAGGCTGGAAGGCCAAGATCAAGGGCTCAGCAGGGTTCTGCTGTCTCCAAAGGCTCTGAGGGAGGATCCTGCCTTGTCCATTCCAGCTTTTGGTGGCTCCATCAGTCCTGGGAGGTCCTGGGCTCGCAGCTGCATGGCTCCAGTGTCCCCCCCTGCCCCCTGTCATCACTGAGTGGCCTCCTCTGTGTGTCTGTGTCTTCTTATGAGGTCACAAGTCGCATCGCATTAGAGCTCACAGGAATAAGCTCATCTAACCTTGATTACATGTGGAAAGATCCTATTTCTAAATAAGGTCACATTCACAGGTATTGGGGATTAAAACTCCAACTTATCTCTTTGGCCAGCCCCTAACAGGAAGGTAGGCAGTGTCTGGATTCCAGCAGGCTCGTAAGTCCTGCTAAGGACCTTGGCCTTTTCGTGGCACGTTCCTGAAACTCTGTATTCCTTCTTCCTCACATGTGAATTGAGAGAGCATAGCACTTCCCTCACAGGGCTGTAGGGGAGTTAAATGTGCCGTATGCAGAAGGCACATAGACAATGCCTAGCACACGACAAGTGCTAGAGGAAACCTCACTTTTTTTTTTTTTTTTTCCGAGACGGAGTCTCGGTCTTGTCACCCAGGCTGGAGTGCAATAGCATGATCTGGACTCACTTCAACCTCCGCCTCCTGGGTTCAAGCAATTCTCCTGCCTCAGCCTCCCGAGTAGCTGGGATTACAGGCGTCCACCACCCAGCTATTTTTTTTTTTTTTATTTTTAGTGAAGATGGGGTTTCACCATGTTGGCCAGGCTAGTCTCAAACTCCTCACCTCAGGCAATCCACCCACTTCAGCCTCCCAAAGTGCTGGGATTACAGGCATGAGCCACCGCGCCCGGCCTGCTTCACTATTTGTATTGCTATTTCTCCTAAAGGCAGAAGAAAGCCACCCAGAGTTTTCCAATGGCAGAGAGGTAAGTAGCATGGAGGAAAGATCAGTTTTAGAACTGCCCTGTCTGATGGCACTGCCATTAGCTCCATGCAACTGTTTGTATTTTAACTTATTAAACTTAGTAAAATCGTCAGATCGGCTCCCAATTCTCACGAAGCACGTTCTGTGGCCAAAGAGTACGGCCCTGGGCAGCACAGATGGAGAACATCCCATTGTTGTAGGAAGAAGAGCCTGTAGGCAACTGAGAAGGAGAGGAGGGGGCATGCATAGAGGCATGGGACCCAGGGGAGGGGTCTCAGCTGACAGGGAAGGTGAGGAGAAGCCACAGAGGTGAGCCTCAGCAGTGGCAGAGCCCTGGGAGGGTAGAGGGAGGCTTCCTGGCTAAGCAGTCCATGGTGAGATAGGGACCCCTGAATGAGAACAATGACAGTGCAGGTGGTGGAGATGGTGACGATAATTTCCAACATTTACTGATGGCACAACAGGCATCATGGGCCAGACGCAGTCCCAAACCCCTTACGGAGAGTATTCCTTGCTCACTTACTCCTTCCACACCCCATGAGAGATGGATTATTAGTATGTCCCTGTCTCAGCTAACGAGGCTGAGACATAATAGGTCATGTAACTTGTCCAATTTGCAGGGCAAGGAAGTGGTAGGACATGGATTTGAGCCCAGGTTATGAGCCCAGAGGTTGAATTCAGGGAGCCTCTTCACATCCTGCAGGGACCTTCTTATTGCCACGATGGTGGGGGGCATGCCACTGGCGTTTAGTGGGTAGGGGCCCCTTCCCAGCCATGTGTGGGACAGCCGTGCAGTGAGGCCCGTTGCTGCCTCGAGGAATGTCTCGCTGGACTCTGAATGAAGGGTGCTGGTGACGATGCTCTGAGCTGGGAACCAGATTCTCTGTGTCACAGTTACAAAGCACTGTTTGTGTGGTTTTGATCTAGGCTATGAATGCAAGCAATGGAGCATCCTGGAATTACTGTGCTGGGCTTTCCTAGAACTTCAGCAAAGGTTCTTCTTTCGGACAACCCCATCTCTACCAACAGGACCACTGGGGATTGGAGGGCTAGGAAAGCCCAGCTGTCCCTTTCTCTGGTGATTACATCATCTGGTGCAGACGTGCCTGGGCAATTACATGTGGAAGTATGTGTTACTTTGTTACACACTTATTTTTATGTATTATTTTATTAGAAATCACTTTGATTTATTTGTCTATTACAATTAACACAGTCTATTGGTTTTGTAAGAGCATCAGTGCCCAGGTGTCCATGTTCTTTATGAGCCACACATTTGGGGAGTGAAGGGTGTGGTTCCAATGGTTCCATGCTGCAGACGCCTCCTGCACAGGACGGGGCCTTGTGGGGCTCGCTCTTCTGCTTGGGTCCTGTCCTGTCCCTTCCCAGGTGCAACGGGAGTTGGGGGTGGGAGGGGACTTCCCCACTGATGTGCTAGATGGAGGGAGGGGAGCCTGAGAAGCAGAGCAGGGAGGGTGGTGGAGGACTGAGGAAGGGTCTGGGGAGGGGGAAGGAGCAGGGTCAGCATTGCGGGAGTCCCACATGCTACCGGCTTAGGCACTGGAAACCAGAAGGAGGTGGGGTAATGTATTGATCCATTTTCACACGGCTATAAATAACTACCTGAGACTAGGTAGTTTACAAAGGAAAGAGCTTTAATTGACTCACAGTTCTGCACGTCTGGGAAGGCCTAAGGCCACTTACAATCATGGTGGAAGGCGAAGGGGAAGCAAGGCACGTCATACACGGCAGCAGGAGAGACAGAGAAAGGCGAAGCCCCAGACACTTACCAAACAGCCAGATCTCATGAGAACTCACGATCACAAGCACACCATAGTGGAAATCACTGTGATCCGATCACCTTCCACCAGGTCCCTCCCCTGACATGTGGGGATTACAATTGGAGGAGAATTGAGTGGGAACACAGAGCCAAACCCTATCAGGTAAGAAGGTGAGGAGAGGGAAGCCTCCTCCCCTCCCAAAGGGCCTCATGGAGGAGGGAAGGAAGGGAGAAGGCTGAGGGCACAAGGTCAAGATGGCACTTGAAGACAAGGGAGGCCAGTGAGGAAGAAGGCTGAGGGAGGGAGGACAGAGGCTGAGGTGGGGCCGATGGCCTGAGGCTCAGTCCCCTGAGACATCAAGAGTGGACAACCAGGAGCATGGTTCTCTGGGACAGCAGCAACTCCTGCCACATTCGGGACTGGGGCAGGGCCAGGAGGATGGAGGGGCAGTGCTGGGGGGAGGCGGTGGGGAGGAGTTTCAGGAGGGTGAGGCTGGGGTGTGCACGGGACGCCAAGGTGGGGGGCCGGGGCAGGGAGGGGGCCGCATGCTGTGCTCCCCAGCAAGCCCGGCCTGGCCTGGCTGTCTCCCGAGCCTCCTCACTGCCCTGGCTTTCCTCTTACTCTTCCCGTTCACTCATCCACCCCTCAGGACTCAAAGTCTGTGGGTGCCTCTGGAGGGAGATGGTCACCCTGGGCATTTGCAGGAGCCCTGCAGACACCCGGGCGGTTCCTGGAGTGTACGGCGTCGGAGGGTGAAACCTCCCAGGACAGGGAGTGCGACTTGTCACTGCTCGTCTCCCGCACCCAGCAGTAACCACCAGGCACATCTGTGGGTGATCACTGTGGCCTGGAGTAACCACCAGGCACATCTGTGGGTGATCGCTGTGGCCTGGGCCCAGCTTGGCACTGTCTGCGTGGAGCCAGTCACTCAACCTCATCACAGCCCCAAGGGGTGTTTATCCGCAGGGGCTCTCCAGAGAAACGGCAGATAGAAGAGCTACAAGAGTATATGAAGAAGTGTATTTAAAATGATTGGCTCGTGTGGTTATGGGGCTAGTAAATCCAAAGTGCCTGCAGCAGGCCAGCATGGAGAGCTGAGCTGCCACCCCGAGGCTGACTCTCTTCTTCTCTGGGAACCCTCAGTTTCTGCTCCTCAGGCTGTCAGCTCATTGGACGAGGCCACCACATCACAGAGGGGATCTCTGTTACTTAAAGTCAACTGAGTGTAGATGGAATCACATATACAATGTCCCCTCCCAGCAACACCTAGATGAGTGTTAGATGAATCACTGGGTACCAGAGTCCTGCTAAGTCGACACAGAAAACTCATCGTTTAGGCTCAAATCAGATCTAAAGTAAGGTAAAATGCAGGTTCCCGCTGGGTGTGGTGGCTCACGCCTGTAATCCCAGCACTTTGGGAGGCCGAGACGGGCGGATCACGAGGTCAGGAGATCGAGACCATCCTGGCTGACACGGTGAAACCCTGTCTCTACTAAAATACAAAAAAAAAAAATTGGCCGGGCATGATGGCGGGCACCTGTGGTCCCAGCTACTCGGGAGGCTGAGGCAGGAGAATGGCGTGAACCCAGGAGGCGGAGCTTGCGGTGAGCGGAGAAACTCCAGCCTGGGCGACAGAGCCAGACTCCGTCTCAAAAAAAAAAAAAAAAAAAAAAAAAAAAAGCAGGTTCCCGGGCCCTACCCCAGAACTACTGGGCCTGACTCCCTGGGCATGAGACTTGGAAACCTTCATTTTAACAGATTCCCCAGATGATGGGACGCCAGGAAGGTCTGGAAACGTCTGGTGCTGTGCTTTAGAAGGTTGGTGCAGTTCCCTGCAAACTGGTCACTCCTTCAAATGCACCTGCCATCGTCAAACGAGGGTACTGCTGGTGGGGACAACACAGGGGCTGGGCGGTGCTGGCCCTGTTTTGGAAGAGATCAGAACAAGTACTCAGCAGGGGTGGAACGAAGTGACCCCAGGCTCCCTGTGTGGTTACAAAGCCTCAAATGTGATGCCCTGGCCTCTCCACAGAACCAAGCTCACCCGAGGAATAAGTCACCTGACGTGGCCGCTGCTCCACCCCTGGGTCCCATCACTGCACCTTCCTGGAGACAACTGCAGTTGGCTGCCACTTGCTGAGAATCTTCACGCCCGCAGGGCCCTGGAAGGGTTCGCTTTGGGGAGAGAAGTGGGAGCAGAGATCAAGGGAGGCATCTGCCGTTTGTTTCTTGCAGAGGTTTCCTCAATCCTAGAGCAATCCACACCCCAGGTGGGGGCCTTCGGACAACCGGCCTCCTTCAGGAGGGAGCAGTCGGTTGGAGCCCAAGTTTCACCCGGACTGAGTGGCCCTTCGTGACCAGGAACACTGTCCATCAGACAGACGCTGCTGCTCCTGCTAGGTCACGAGGGCCAGAGAAAAAACCCACAGTGCCAGCTGCAGGCCCATGGTGCTGGCTGCAGGCCCATGGGTCCTGCGGGCGTTTGGCAGAGTCAGTGTTTGTTTTGAGCATTTGGGGCCCGAGCTTCAGAGGAGGGTTCAGTGGGAACAGGATTTGCTGTGCTCCCACCCACCTAAGGGGGGTTAACTTTTCTCAGGATATATGTTGGCAGCCATGTGCTCCGGCTTGTTTTTTAACATCAGAGGAGATTTATTTACAGAAACCCGTGATGGAGACATGCCAAGTCCTGGGCACTGTCCCTTGTCACGTCCTGACTCCTGGGGCCGGGTGCAGTTGACAGACGGTGCTGGGTCCCCTGGGCTCCCACAGCTGGAGTGCCCAGGCAGGGCCACCTAAGGGACTCCCTGCATGAGGCTCCTCGCCAAAGAGTGACCTGACACCTCCCCCTCCCCAGGCGAGATCACTGAGCATGGGTAGTGTTTTGTGTGCTTTTTGTTCTTCAACTGTGTTTTCCACAGCCAAGCTGGCAGTTCCTCCTAACTGACTGTGGGTATGTGATGGGAAACAGAGTCCCTGCTTTGGCCTGAGGGCAGAGACACAACAGCACATTCTCTTTTATCTCCTGGCGAGCCTGTCCTGTGGCCACGGCTGGTCATGCTACTCCAGACAAAATGAGAAGGTGTCAAGTCCATATTTAGAGCCATTCTTTACCCCTCCAGTACCTAGACCTCCTGGAACACCACTACAGCGCCCTCACCCCCCTCCACAGCCTCCTTATCTGGCTCACTTGTCCTGTGGCCCAGGCTGCCCTTCCTCATCTGATCTAAGAAATGAATCTCAGCCAAGATCAGATCGCTTGATAAACTCACCTCACCCATGCCTCGGTCACATCCTCACAAGGAGAAGTTAATAGCTTAGCCCAGAGGACTGACGTAATCAGGCTGATCTTGAAGAGGAGACAGCCAAGGGCTTGTGAATTTAGGGAGCTTGGAAAACCCCTCCAGCGCTGCCCTTGACTGGCAGGGGGTATCCTTCTTTCCTGGAGGGACAGAGAGGCCCTGAGGTGGGAAAGGCCCTGGTGGGACTGCCCTGGGAGTCGGGGGCATAACTTGGAGTGGATTAGCCTTCCTTTCTCCAGCTCTCTGCCCCTATGCTGCATAAACCCAGTTTCTCCTGGTTCTCCTTTGTCAGAGAAAGACACAGTCACTTGCATGGAAGAGACCGATGTTCAGCTCAGAGGGTGAAAGGAATAAAAAAGGAAGCATTTAATTTGCAAACCTGAGGCTCCTCCAACCCACCGTCAGTCCTCTGGGGCATTACAGGAACGTCGTCAGCCTTTCCTGAAGCCTGGATCCCCCATGGGAGGCAGAAAAGAGAAGACTCGGACTGTGGGTCGGGGGCAAAGCCAACCTAATGACTGGAGAGGGAGGGCGGCCCCTGAGGGAGGGTCCAGAACGCCACCTGCAATGATCCCAATAGGGAAACTGAGGCCTGGACCTTTAATTGCAGATCTTTCATTGTGTTTGCCTCACCATAGGCAAGTCTCAGGCTTACACTTAGTAGTGTATCTGAGGAATGGATGGGAACCACCCCTCCCCCAGCCCACTGGAAGGGTAAATGATTCCCAGATGGCACTTGCTGCAGGAATCTAAGTCCCTGTGGATGTGGTTGTCACAGCTGACCCAGCACCTTGTCAGCTTCTTCCTCACCCTTCTCCTGTCTCAGCCTTCCTCACCTGGCCTCAGGTGTCACCACACAGCCCTGGGATGTGGAGATGCATTCGCTGTTTGCCTAGAGCAGTTACTTAACTTAGAAGGTGCAGGCGGGGCCAGCGCTGGTTCTGGGCTCCTTGGAAGCTGCAGTCCTTGCAGTGCCCTGGAGTCTGCTGTCCTCGTCTCTGGACTCCAGGTCTGAATGCTCACCTGTTACCATGTCCCCTTCTTTTCCTTGTTTAAGGCTTGACTTCAGGACCCCTGGAGTCATTTCACGTCCTACTTTCCTCGGAGCGGAGCCCACAGTAAGATGCTCCAAAACTTCCTGCTCCGCTTCTGAAGCAGTTTCCCATCTTTTGAGAATCCATGAAAGCTTCAGAGCTCTGGAAATGTGTGGGTGCTCTGAGTCACCTCTGTTAGTGAAGGAGGAAGCTGGACTCAACTCCAGAGGTGGGGCTCATACACTGGACCCAACTGAGGACTAGCTAAAAGGGACAGGGCAGAAGCAGCTTTCCATAAGCCACCTCCGCCAGTGCGCCATGCCAGTTTACCATTGCCGTGGTAAAACCTGGAAGTTACCACCCCTTTCCATGGCGATGACCCAATGACCTGGAAGTTACCACCCCTTTCCATGGCGATAACCCAATGACCTGGAAGTTACCATCCTTTTCTAGAAATTTCTGCATAAATTGCCCCTCAATTTGCATATAAGTAAAATTTGGTATAAATAAATGTGAGTGCAGCCCTGCCTCTGAGCTGCTGCTCTGGGTGCACTCCCTATGACGTAGCCCTGCTCTGCCGCTGCTGTGCACTGCCACATCCATAAAAGCTGCTGTCCAACACCACTGGCTCGTCCTTGAATTCTTATCTGTGTGAAGCCAAGGACCGTCTCGGGCCAAGCCCCAATTTTGGGACTCACCTGCCCCTGCATCATTAGGAACGATGTCCACCTGCTAGTGACAGAAATCCCTGAAACAGTCCCCTCAGTTATTAAGAGTTCTCCTCTGATCAAAAGGAAGCCAGCACAGGGTTGGGATGTGGGCTCTGGGATTGCACCAGGGAGCTGGGCTCTTTCTAGCCCCGCATAGTCCAGCCATCAATCAAACAGACAAACACATTGACAAGACAGGTTCGTGCTGCCAAAAGCTTAAGAAAAGGCAAACAGGGCAGTGTGGCATGGTCAAGAGTGCTGGGTGAGGGCCCTGTAGGTTGGGTGGTCAGGAAAACCCTCCCTAAGGTGGAGACATTTGGGGACGGCCCAGAGGATGGGAAGGACTGAGACTTGAAGGAACACTGAAAGGCTTCATTCCAGCCAGAAAACGGCAGGTACAGAGGGCTCAGAGGGAACCAGCCTGGGCCGTCGTGGAAAATAAAAAGGCCGAAGGGAGTGGGGTGGAGTGAGGGGGACGGCGTGCCGGGAGGTATGATGGGAGGTATTCTGGGAGCAGGGAAAGGGGGCCCTGCAGGCTCTGGTAGAGCTTGAATTCCAGGGTGGTGGATGGAAGTGCCTGGAAGATTTATCCAAGGGAGCTGATTTGCTTACAGGAAGATCATTTTGGCTGCTGTACTGAACATAGGTGGACAGGAGTGGAAGGAGGGAGTCAGTGGCGAGTCCTGGTAAGAGAGGATGGTGGGATGGCAGAAGCAGTGAGAAGGGGTGCAGGCAGGGAGCAGGAGCAGGGGTTCTGTCCGGTGAGAATGACGGAGGAGAGAAGCTAGCCAGGGAAGGGTGTTTCCAAGATCCCAGTGATGGTGGGAGAGTCTGTGTGGGGGAAGCCCCAAGGGGGCAGGTGAACGGACTGGAGCATCCCAGAGGGTGAGGGAGGGGGCTGCCCAGCCACAGCTTTGAGCCTAAGCAGGAGCCGTGAGGGAGCTGGAGTGGAGCTGAGGTTTTGGAGGTGGTTGCTTTACAGAGCGGCGGTGGGAGCAGGTGACCAGGTGGAATACACAAACAGTTATTATTGGAGAAGGGGTCGTGAAAGAATGAGGTGGCCAGGAGGGTCCTCCATGATCTTCTTTCTTGGCCCATTTCTGCATTTTCATCCTGCCCCTGGCCAGTGATGGGAGGTCTACCAAGGTCCCAGGCAGCCCTTGTTCAGGTTCAGGCCAGACTAAAGCCCAGCACGACCCTGGGGTGTTCAGTTCCATGGGGGAGGCTAGGACATGGGGAGGGGGACAGAGGTAGCTCAGGTGGGCAGGACGTTGGTGGAATTCAGAGAGGAGCGAAGACAATAAGGAAATCAGTGCTTGGACCATGGAGGTGATATTTTCATGTCCACTGCTCAGACCACATCTGAACAGGAAGCTGCACGTGCTCTGAGCCTCTTGTGTTAAGGGGGACAGGGAGGGAGGGACCCTGACAGCCTGGAGGATATCCAGAAGGCAGCAAGCAGGAGAGGACAGGGGTCTTGAAATTGAGGCAGACAAGCTGGGAGGGAGGTCAGGGAAAACGCAGTCTGGAGAAATACAGATGGCACTGAGAAGCTAGCCTGTGCAGGAGCTGCCTTGCGTGACTGATGGCGGCAGGGCCTGCGTTGATCATGTGAACAGCTTCCTCGGAAACACGCTTCGCGTTCATCTTGAATGCCTCTGAATGATTTCTCTGCATTTGGCCTGGGACAGGTGGGTCTAACTTGGTTGCTAGGGGTCCATGATTCCTGCTTCCTGACAGCCCCTCTAAGACCTTGGAGAAGAATAGCTAAGTCAATACTGATTTTTCTGAGGGCCAGGCTGGGGTTTGGGGAAGTTGGTGAGAGAGACAGAGGGGCAGAATCTATGGATTTGCAGAATCGATGGTGCCCTTGAATATAGGAGAACCTGTGTTATAGTTCTTCATGGTCATCATCACCATCAGTACTAGCAGTATTTTAGAGTCTTGCTCTGTTGCCCAAGCTGGAGTGCAGTGGTGCAGTCCTAGCTCACTGCAGCCTCGGCCTCCTGGGCTCAAGCAATCCTCCCACCTCAGCCTTCTGAGTAGCTGGGACTACAGGCATGTGCCACAGCTACAGCCATTATTATTTACATCGGGATGGGGGATAGATGAGGATGCTTCAATCAGTGCAGAGAAACACCTGCTTCTCATATAGGAGGAGATCATGTTTAAGCTCCTTCCAAAAATACCAAGCTACTTTTTAAATTAGAAAGGTCGCCGTTGACTTTCTTGTGGAAAATAAACATCCAAGAACTGCCAGAAAACAGCTGCAAAGGAAGAGTACCAAGCAAAGAGTAGCCCCAGATATTAAACATATTGTAAAGCTCCTGTAGTTGACTTTGAATAGACACAAAGGTCAATGGAATAAAATATTGAGTCTAGACATTGGCACAGATATATATAGGATTTTGGTTTACGATAGAAGTGACAATTTGAATCAGCAGGGGGAAAAGATGAGTTATTCAATAAATAGTGTTTAAATAACTACCTTTGGTCACTCCCTGAAAAAAAAAAGCTGGATCTTTTACCTTACTTCTTACAGATAAATTCCAGATGAATTGCAGATTTAAATGTCAAAAGAAAACACAAAATGTCTAGAAATAAGCATGGGGAAAAGAGACAAAACACTAACATTGACGTAGGGAAATTTTCTATTTCCCATTTCTCTACAAGACACAAGACCTGAACACCATAAAAGAAAAAATATTGTAAATCTGCAACAAAATAGTTATGATTCCCATATAGCAAAATAAAGCCAGAACATGAACAACAAACCAGGAGAAACATTGGCCACCCAAACAGTCCTGCTGGGCCACTGCTTGGTGCCAGCCAGGCCTGCACTGCGTTGTCTGAGGGTCCTCTGCAGGTGCTTCTTTTGACAGTGGTTCTAAATGTTTGAAATGTCAGTCATTTGGAGTCTAATATGCTGAATATTAGCCATTCATAAGGGATCCATCCCCATAATCCAAACACCTCCCACCAAGCCCCACCTCCAACATCAATCCAAACTCCTCCCACCAGACCCCACCTCCAACATCAATCCAAACACCTCCCACCAAGCCCCACCTCCAACATCAATCCAAACACCTCCCACCACACCCCACCTCCAACATCAATCCAAACACCTCCCACCAGACCCCACCTCCAACATCAATCCAAACATCAGACCCCACCTCCCACATCAATCCAAACACCTCCCACCAGACCCCACCTCCAACATCAATCCAAACACCTCCCACCACACCCCACCTCCAACATCAATCCAAACTCCTCCCACCAGGCCCCACCTCCAACATCAATCCAAACTCCTCCCACCAGGCCCCACCTCCAACATCAATCCAAACACCTCCCACCGGACCCCACCTCCAACATCAATCCAAACTCCTCCCACCACACCCCACCTCCAATATCAATCCAAACACCTCCCACCAGGCCCCACCACCAACATCAATCCAAACTCCTCCCACCGGACCCCACCTCCAACATCAATCCAAACACCTCCCATCGGGCCCCACCTCCAACATCAATCCAAACACCTCCCACCGGATCCCACCTCCATCATCAATCCAAACACCTGCCACCAGGCCCCACCTCCAACATCAATCCAAACACCTCCCACCAGACCCCACCTCCAACATCAATCCAAACTCCTCCCACCACACCCCACCTCCAACATCAATCCAAACACCTCCCACCAGACCCCACCTCCAACATCAATCCAAACACCTCCCACCGGGCCCCACCTCCAATATCAATCCAAACACCTCCCACCAGGTCCCACCTCCAACATCAATCCAAACTCCTCCCACCGGACCCCACCTCCAACATCAATCCAAACACCTCCCACCACACCCCACCTCCAACATCAATCCAAACACCTCCCACCAGGCCCCACCTCCAACATCAATCCAAAATCCTCCCATCGGGCCCCACCTCCAACATCAATCCAAACACCTCCCACCGGACCCCACCTCCAACATCAATCCAAACACCTCCCACCGGACCCCACCTCCAACATCAATCCAAACACCCCTCACCGGGCCCCACCTCCAACATCAATCCAAACACCGCCCACCAGACCCCACCTCCAACATCAATCCAAACACCTCCCACCAGATCCCACCTCCAAAATCAATCCAAACACCTCCCACCATACCCCACCTCCAACATCAATCCAAACCAGGCCCCACCTCCAACATCAATCCAAACACCTCCCACCACACCCCACCTCCAACATCAATCCAAACCATGCCCCACCTCCAACATCAATCCAAACACCTCCCACCAGATCCCACCTCCAACATCAGTCCAAACACCTGCCACCGGGCCCCACCTCCAACATCAATCCAAACTCCAGACCCCACCTCCAACATCAATCCAAACACCTCCCACCGGGCCCCACCCCCAACATCAATCCAAACACCTCCCACCAGATCCCACCTCCAACATCAATCCAAACACCTCCCACCACACCCCACCTCCAACATCAATCCAAACCAGGCCCCACCTCCAACATCAATCCAAACACCTCCCACCACACCCCACCTCCAACATCAATCCAAACCAGGCCCCACCTCCAACATCAATCCAAACACCTGCCACCGGGCCCCACCTCCAACATCAATCCAAACTCCAGACCCCATTTCCAACATCAATCCAAACACCTCCCACCGGGCCCCACCTCCAACATCAATCCAAACACCTGCCACCGGGCCCCACCTCCAACATCAATCCAAACTCCAGACCCCATTTCCAACATCAA